GACACTAAAGGCTGGATTCCACTTGGAATGCACTTCGAAAGTTTTTAACATTCAGGCCGACCACAGGAATGGGTAAAACTATTTTTAGAATGCTCTTTGAATATCCAGGAATGCACAAAGAATTGTTTTTCCGACGGCATCCTTGTTCATTCTGCCTCTAGTGTGACGGGGGTATTAACAGCAAGCATCAAAGGAACAATATTGAAGTACATACATCAAAACACTAATTTTTTATTGATTTATATCTTTCCTGGTATTCCTAGATTTTATATACTTCCATGCTATTACTAGTGCCACTACTTTTAAAACTAGGTATTGTTTTAACAAACGAAAATATATGTCTTAATTTTTTCAGTGCCTGCCAATTTGGCTGCTTATTAAGATGTAGGACATTGAGCATGTGGACTATATAAAAGATGGGTTTGCATGTGCAGGAGATGTGTCTCAGAATGGATGGAGCAATGCAGACCTGGGAAGGGTACATAGTGCGAAGACTATGCAACAGATATATGTGCCACTCATATGTAAATATGAACAGTCCTGGAAGTGCCTCCTTGGAGCAGGAAAGGACATGCTGTTATGTTTTTACAAAAGGAATCCTACAATGAGAAATACATCTTATTATGCTGTACTGGAAATGCAAACCAACAAATTTCTTTTAAAACTGCCAACAACGAGTGGTGATTTTTACATACATGTATACCAGTATATACTATTTCTTCTCTGACAGTTTATTCTGAGCATTGAGTTTGCTATTGTTTTAAGTTCATAGGTCTTTTGAATGAGACCACGTGTAACATACATGTATAAAAGGAACCATGATGGGAAATCAGTTACTTTGTTCCACAGTGTTATGTAAAAAATGAGTCAGCAGAACACAGTTGGAGAGAGGTCACTCAGAGTAAGCCTGGTCCACTGCAAATATGCAGGATGGAATATCTGATGACATTGAGACTCCTGACACTGGAAACATTACAGTGTTGTGACAGTTGTAAAAATGTGGGTATTTACAGTGTGCTACCGACTTGTAAGCAAGACTTTTCTATCTTTCATATATTCTTGGTTGTCAGGTAGAGTGATTGGTACCTGAAGTCCCTCACCTGTTGTATATGTGTAGATAGGCCAAGTTTATCTGAACACAAGGTAGGAAATATTATGTATCAAATATACAGAATGTGATAATGGTATTGACCTCTTCTTCCCTGACTGTTATCCATTCATACTCAGACATTGTTTGCTTGAGTATTAACTTTCACTGTCCATCCCAAAACAGTTTTCACAGCTTTAAAAATTGAGCATTTTTCTGGCTGCTGGAGGCCAAGCTATGGGGTACTTACCACCAACCCAACATTGAACCCTTTGTTGAGGTTAAAATCCTTTAACAAATATTCTTGAACACTTGTAGTATCTAGAACAGGCAGTGACATGCTTACAGTTGATATCCATTTCCTTCACACAGACAAATGAATTAGATTTGATAAATTACAAATAAAAATAGGAAAGCTAGCAACATTGTGGAGGTTTGTATTGCTTTCAAAACCATGTTTAAGCAGAAAACAATAACACATTTTTATTTATTTATTTATTTATTTATTTATTTATTTATTTATTTATTTGCTATCTTTTCTGGTACTCCTAGATATTAGATACTTTCATGCTATTACTAGTACCAGTTCTTTTAATATGAAGAAATGTTTTAACACATGTACTTGCATCAGAAGGGTCTTATTAGCATAAATACCACCTCAGTATTTCTTCCATGGAGGTTAGATTATTATTATTCAATATTAAATCTATTATTATTATTATTATTAACTATTTATTATTTAATTGTTATAGTAAAGTTTAGAATATGACTGAAGTGTATCATGTTCTACAGGAGAGTAGCAATTATAGCACCTTTAACTGCATCCAGTACTCCTGTATTGGGGATCCTCTCACTTTGATGACATCATAGGTGCAATATCAGAAGGGAGGAGAAAGGCATCATTCAATTTCTTAACAGAGGCTGATTTGGTAAATTTATTAAAATGCCTTCCATTTCCATTAAGCAGGTACATAAACTTGGCCACTAGCTCTCTGGTACAGATTGATTTGCAACTAATATAATCTACATTGCATAAGAGATAAAGAAAAAATACCTATATTTACATATGAGCTCACTATGTAATCCCACTTTCATTACTGTATATGGCACCAGCAAGTAAACTGCATGGCAGTGTGTTGTTCTTGAAATGAATGTGAATTAGAAAACCAAAAACAAAAGGTGAGTTTACACTCTCAAGTCGGTAAAATAATGCATTAAATTTAGTTTAGTGTTATGAACCAGTCTGTTGAGATCTTACCTTTGAACTCAGTTAACTAAGTTGACATACGTGTTAAGTATGCTAAAAAATAAATTAAAGCGAGCGAGAAAAAAAGAAAGAAAGAAAAGAAAGAATAATTATAATAATAATAATAACAAGATTCTTATATGGCGCCTTACATTCTATCTCAAGGCGCCTTACAATAATGGCTAATATACTAAAATCATTAAAATGACTACAATATTTTAATCATAAACTCTCATTGGAAACCATTTCAAATTTACACTACTAAAAATCAATCTTATTAAAAAACATGTATATATTTAAATAAAATCTAAGAGATATAGACAGAATTAAAAATGTGGGTCTTTAAAAGAGATTTAAAATTGTCAAAGTCTTCTGTTTTTCTAATAAAATTTGGTAGACCATTCCACACAAGAATAAAGGCTGTTGCTTTCTAAAAGATAAAAGGTTTGTTTATTTTTAATCACACTGAAGAAGGTGAAAGCTTGGGCGCTTTATGCCAATTATTATTGATCTTAATGAATGCATTTTATTTTTATTTACTAGTACTTCGGATGACCGGAAACAAATGTATTTGAAGACTTGGAAATTTGAGGGTCCCCTGAAGGCCAGTTTGGGAGAAATAGCTATTCAGATATCCTACACAGAGATGGAAACTTTTGGGAGTTCTAGAATGAAAGAAAAACTAAGAGCGGGTTCAGAACAGCTGGATCGGTACATGTACCTCCAAAATATTTGAACAACTAAATTGGATTTCTCTATTTGATAGAAGAAAAATGCACGCTCAAAAAATTATGTTTTCAGTTATGGCGAATTTGGTCCCCTCCTATATTTCTGATATATTCCGCCCATTCAGAAACCCTTTTCCAATCATAACCCGAGAAAATAACAAAAGAGACTTTAAACTTCCTCCTAAATACCCCCGTACCTCAGTTAACTATTTTCTAATGTCTTCATGGGATCAACTCTCCTCCTCCACTAAATCTTTACCTTCAATCTCATCTTTCAAGAACTCGATAAAAAATCACCTCACTGCTGGGTCGCTTTCAACAACAACACTAAACTTGGACAGAAATCAAGAAAAAAATCTTAACAGAGCGAGGGTCGGGTGTTTATTTAGAGCAGAATTGTTTAGGCATAACTGGACTACTATTGACACACCACACTGCACCTGTGGTGCCCTTGAAACTCCTCTGCACTTCTTTTTCAGATGCCCCTCACTCAATTTAAGGTACCCTACCCTTTACCAAAAAGTAAATGAAATTCTACATGAAAGTAAGACCTCTTTTAAAACACAAAAAGAAAAGCTGTCCCTATTTCTCTACGGTCATGGATCTTTATCACCCACCCAAAATGAAATTATCTTCGAAACTGTTGCAAATTTTCTTCTCGAAAACTTTGTCATCACTTAATAGGTACTATCTCTTTTCTTCTTCTTTCTTTCTGTACTTAATTTGTGCTCCATAATATTTGAAGTTTTACATTTACTCTGTTGTATATATGTATCCATTTGTTTTATTTATTTATTTATTTACTTATTTAATTTTGTGGAGAGCATATAATGCTTCCAGCGCCTTGCCTCCATTTCTTTCTTTTGAATAAACGTTGTTTAAAAAAAAGCTGGATCGGTCCAACTCCGCAGAGGAGTCTCGCTAAATTGCATCAAGTGTTATCAGCATAATTTTCTGACATGCCGCCTTGAGAAGCTAGGGGTAACTTCACTTTCGTGTGTACCGAATATATTGAATTCATTTAGGGAAAAATTCCTACAGAGTTGGATCGATCCAGCTAGTATGATGGGTTAATCTGAACGCTCCTTAGTTCTGTTTGTACCCAACAAATTTACAATTTTCTCTATGTGTGTGTGTGTGTGTGTGTGTGTGTGTGTGTGTGTGTGTGCGCGCGCACGCGTGTGGGATGGGGTATCACATAAAATGAGGGCCAGTTACGTACATTCCCCCGCACAAATCAACGTAGAAGAGAACGTATGGGTGTTTATGTAGTTATGAAAGGCATAGAAACATTACACGTGCAGGCACGCTGGAAACACGTTTAAGTGTTTGCGCGGAGGCACGTATGTGCGTTACCTTTCTGGTGAATAATAATTATATGTTATATACAAAACAAACGAATTAAAAAAATAAAAAATAAACTTTTACCACGTATGTAGCGGTTAAATAGTGACGATGTAATCTGTTCATACTATCACGCTCTGGATGTACAGTGAACAGTGGCTGACTTATCTAACTCTGATAGATTCCTTTAAATGTGGGTCACCCAGGGCATCGGTTCTTAAAGGGGACATCACCCCAAAACGGGTCAGCAAACTGACGCTGTCTCACTAAACATGATCACAGTTCAGTTCAGCACAACAGGAAACCAAATTTGGGTAAAATTTAATTTTTAATGCATCATACTCATGTATTCATTATAGTTTTCTATTCAAACCAGAAATTTGAAATTTGGTGAAGGGCTACTTTGCTCATAATCAAAGGTGTCGTTACATGTAGGTAAAGGTCTGTGTGTAAACTGTCCTAACTATATCTAGTCGGGTTAAACTTTATCTGTCATTTATCTGTCATTGCTCGGTAAAACGAATGTACATGTCAGATAACATATGCTCCCTTCTTTATCACAGCAGTCTCACTCTGATCGCGGACATTTACCGGTATGGACATTGTGAAGAAAAGTAAGTACTAATATCCTCTGCTTTTTAATCTTTGGGGCTTACAACCCCCTTTACATTGGACGGCGTCCTTTCTGCGTCCTTTGTGCGACCATGAAACTGGCCAAGTCGCCGTTGGGCGCTCAAAGAACGCACGGTGATCCCACAAAGAACTTCCAAGCATCGCTGAGGACGCCATGGTCGCTGCATAGTTTTGAGCATGTTTGAAACAATCGCACAGAAAATGCGATGAAGGAAGCATGCTGTAAGGTCGCTCAAGGGACGCAGAGAGGACGCACAAGCATTGCTGTTGTCTTAAAAAGGAGTCACAAGCATTGCTTTGGTTGCAGTATGGATTGCTCAGCTGGTGTTTTTTTCCTGAAATTCTTAAACCGATCCATTTGGGGGGGGGGGGGGTAATTATAGAACGAACATTCTGCTTTTTCTCAAGATGTAGTTCTTGTCGGATTCAAAAATTCTATGTTGTGTCCGTCAGCCATTCTCGTCTCCTCCTCCCGTCCATACCAGAGCCAAAACTTGTCTCAGTTGTTGAAAATTTGCAGTTTTTGTAAACTTCCAATAATGTTTGTATGATTCTGAAAGTACTGCAGATTATTTTAAAACAGTGAAGTAAAATTTTCGCTCAGATCTTTGGTTTATTTGTAAGGATACAGTGTACTCTAACTATGTTTAGTATCAATGTTCGTTCGTTCGTGAGAGAGAGAGAGTGTTAGTATGCCCTGTTTTTTATATAAGTTTTTTCAACTTACATGAAAAGGAGTCATCACGTTCTTATTATCTTTTATTATTAAAACGGAGTAATTACTATCATTTGCCCCATCTCTGAGAGATTTTCCTATCATTTTCTCTGTATTTTCAGCGAGAGACGTGGCCCTTAGCTATCTGTATAAGCCGTCTACCAGGACATATGACAGCAGTATTCTGTCTGATTATCTTGATCGACGGGTCAAAGTTCACCCTGAAAGAGAAGCCGTAGTTCTGTACTCAGAGGCTGGGGAACGCTCTAGTCTCACATTCAGGCAGTATCATGACAAGTCCATTAAAGTGGCGGCAGGTTTGTGTTTTTTTTATCACATTGCCAACATACATTGCAGCACAGCTCTCTATATAATAGCTAACACAATCCATACAGCAACGCTGGCCATGAACACCAAGCAGAATACACACACTGGAACAATATTTATTTCTTCGAAAACTAAAAATAATCCGATCATGCTGCTTTTTTGTCTTATAACCGCCCAAAGCCACTCAGTCAACATGCAGTGAAACAAAACTACATTTTGGCACGAACGTCGCCACAATACAAGTAAATGTCTTTGTAAAAAGTGAAGCCAGGTTTGTGGAAATCAATATATAATATATGTATATCATTTTATGATATGACACGATGAGCTAACAGCATCCAGGTCTACCGCAACGATTTGTTTTTGGCTGAATATCTGAACACATTTACCACTCCAAAACAGCGACCTAAAGTTGTTCGATCTCCCTCACCAACAGATCTATAACAATCTAGATTTTATCCAACACAGCATCATAGGAATGAAGTAATTTTCTATCAGTCAAGAGCTTAATATTGAAAAAGTTTTTACCTCCAATATGTCTAGCAGAACATCTTCATCAGGGAATGAGGCTATCCAGGTGAATAGCCTCTATTCATTATTAATATTAAGCTGTTGACTGAAGAAAAATCACGTCTTTCTTATAACATAACATAGCTGATGACATTCTTCTCTAACATCATAGGATAATCAAAGTATTTCCCTTAGTTGTGAGTGTTTAGGCCAACTACCTGCAAGACGTATACACATTGCTTCCCCTCATATCGTTCGGTATGCCTTGGAGCACAACTCTTCACGCAAACTTGCCCCGTACCTTGAACTTCGCACATATGTGGCTCCTAAATATGTTAGTAAACAGAGTAATCACATTGAAGAAATATTTCGATAAATATTTGTAGCGCAAACAGTGACAGTTCCTTCAACTGAAATTGACTGTTTTCATGTGTTCTTGTATATGCAGGTCTCCTTCGGTCTGGTTTGACACACGGTCAGAGGGCGCTGCTGGTCGCTCCAAACACTTTGGAGTTCATCATACTACAAATGGCCTGCGCAAGAATTGGAGTCTTTGTCTTATTCGTCAAATATGGAGCTTCGCCAGATGAAGTTATACAAATGGCAGCGAAGTACAAATGCAGAGCAATAATTGTCCAGTCATCCGAGAGTGGGCAGTCGTACGGTCAGGACGTGGTCAAGGCATTTTTGAGAGACGTCCCTGAAGAAAACGCACCTGATGCAACACTCTTCATTTGCGTTTCTTTTTATGGTGGGCCGAACACCATCTCCTATGATACACTAACGACCCCCCGCCCCGACGTCATTTCCGACCTGGAGAAAACAGCCGTTTGGTCTGTCCAGTCCAAAGTCCAGATGGAAGACCCTCTGCTTGGAATGATGACATCCGGTAGTACAGGGAAACCAAAGGTTGTTGCTTTGAACCACTTTCAGTTCATCCAGGCAACGTTCGCCACTGCCGAGTTGGCGGAAATGTCGGAGGGATCGCGATTTCTCAACGAACGCCCTTTCCCATGGGCGGGGAGCGTTGGAATCGGTATTAACTTTATTGCTGTCATAGGAATAACGCTCGTGTCTATGGATCCCGAGATATCCGTGAAGAAGGGAGATGCCCAGCTGGTCAGAAAGATCCTGCAAGATGAGAAATGTACCCATGTACTGACAATGCCTTACATGATGTACGATTTCATAAAGAGCGAGGATGCCCAGCAGTACGACCTGTCTTCCCTTCAGTTCGCCATGACCGGTGGTCAGCCAATTTTACAAGAATCCGCAGTAGCATTTCTGGAGAAAAACCCCACGTTCAAGCTCATACAGGCCTACGGTACGGCAGAAACCATACTTGTTTTTAACCAAATAACAGACATAAGTGATGTAAGGAGGCACGAGTTTTGGCTATCTTGAAGTAGGCAGTGATATCGAAATTAAACTGGTGGACGAGAATCAACGCGTTGTCCCCAGGGGAACCACTGGTGAACTGTGGGTGCGTGGACCAATGGTGTTTATCGGTTACCTTGACAACCTGGAGGGGACTTCTCGTTCCCTGACTCCGCTCCGTTGGTACAAGACCGGTGATTTGATGGTCATGAACGACCACGGCCAGGTGCACATTGTCGGGAGGATTTCGGAAACAATCAAGAGAGCGACAGTAAAAATACATCCAGCCGAAATTGAGCATGTCCTAGTTCGCCACCCGCTAGTTCTCCAAGCATACGTTGTCGGAGTCCCGGATGTCAGGTTATATGAAGAGCTGTGCGCTTGCGTCCAGTTGAATGAAAACGAGATCGCTGACGTCGACCAGATGAAGGAGATCGAGGCGTGGTGCGCTGAGACTTTCTTGCCGGGCCCCGATGGGCTGACTCTAGCTCCACGATATTTCCTTTCTTTTCGGGAGTTCCCTAAAACAGGCAACGGTAAGATCAACAGGCGAGAATTGAAGACGCTGGCCATAAAACAACTGGCACAGCCCTAAACATTTTAGTTAGAACATCTACACATCTAATGTACAGTGTACATGTACCTACATGTACATGTGTTAAATGGCAAACTGGCTTTAAGAAAATAATTGTCTAAAAGAAATACAGCTGTCATAGAACGACAACGGGAAATGTTGTTAAAAGTTTTTTTAGCTATTTATGCATTCATGTTAATGTTATCTAGATCATACAAACGATAAAGTAGTTGTCTTTTACAATCATTTTTGATCATTTTGGTCGAACATTCTGGCAAACAGGCTTTAAATTTGATTATTAAACACACAAACATCAAAGAGCGTAGTGCAGTGCCAGCTTCAGTTCTTTCAAAATTGCGGAAAGTCTTTATTTTGCATCACGAACGTGCCTATACATGTATCCTTATTTCCATTAAAGTGGAGAACAGCAACTGTTAGTCTCTTGTTGAAAATACAAGGCTTATGCAGAGATGTGTTGCAATATTACCGACCGATTCACGACCCGAATATTACCATGTATAGTAATGTAGTTTCAAATCATATGTATGACACATAATCAGCATATAGAAAAGGACAAGGCACAAAAAAAGCTCTCATGACAGCTAACAACGGCACCATGCTTTGCATAGATAAGCAAAGGATGGTATTTTAGTACTTTAATATCAAGCCTCTGCACTGGATTTCGTACCATAGAATCTGGCACGTTTCAAGGAGTCTGTGCCCGTTAATTTTTTTCATTGTATATGTAACCAGTAGAAGACGTTTTACTTAAGCATGGTCTTAACACGGATACATTGACAGATGACACCCAAATCATATTACATGTGACAGACCCCACTCTTTGATAATCACCTCTATAGAAGCATGTCAACAATGTAGAGCAGATTCGGAATTGTCGTAGGTTGAATAGGTTCACCGTAAATGATGGAAACAAAACGTACATGATTAACTCCACGTTCTTTAAATAAAGACAGATGATATAACAAATATTAATTTGTTTTGGGTATGTGACCGTCGAAACATCCATATGTGACAGATGTGTGTGTCACCTTTGATGAATATGGAAATAACTCTACAAACGGTTAACCGTAATCTGGGGGGTTATGCCCTCTGTACGCTTTTGAAAAATTATAAAACTGATGACCCAAAGTGATGTTAAAAGTAATCATTTTTAACTCTTAACCTTGTACCGAACGAACCGGGGGAGGGGTAATCTTTGTAGACTTCTGAGTAGATGATAAAAAAGGATGATCCTAAAACCAAATTTAGCTCGGTTACCACTTTGGAACTAATTATGTAATTGTAAAAAATGTGAAAATCAACAATCTTATAATAATTTCACTCATTGGGATTAATGCCCAATATTTCACTTTAGTTACTGGAGTATGTTATACGTTCAGAATTGTGACAGAAAAGTGATATAATTCAATGTTAAGAAAATGCATAAGTATGTTGTATATTTCTCTATTTAACTTGGTGGACATCTTCAGTTTTGAGATCTAAGTCAGCAAGCATATGACAGTTGGCGGCCAATTTGGATTCATCAAAATGCACCAAATGGTTTTAAACAATAAACAGATTCCTTTTTATGAATTTCTTGTACGTGTACACGGCTTACATATTTGGATGTAATAGCGCCATCAACCAAGATCTAGTGCTTTTAATATGCAAGGGTGTATATTTCTATGGAAATTGCCAGCCATCTCGGATATTTAATATTGCCCAAGGCTGCCAAATGGACAGGCATGTTCCTGGAGCACTTCGCCCTGGGTACTGTTCCCTGTACCAGGGCCACAGATTGAATTTTCACTAGATGTTCACAGATAATGTCTCTGGCTAAATATGGTCAATCTTTTATACGGCAATAGCTCTTCAGCTGAAGTCATCAATAAAGCATTACAAAAAACCTGGTTGATAATAAGTTAAAAAATAAACGTTGAATTAATAATTTGGATCTCCATGTTTTTCATATTATCACCTGTTCAAGGAAAATCATGCCACTGCCTATTCAGAAGCCATGGTAAGAGTCAAGTCTAACAGCATTTTGATGCTATCAGGGAGTACAGCCCCGATTACAGATCCGACAGATGTTACATCTCCCTAACCACACTAGGAGCGACACGCGCAAGCGTCATGGTCAATTCAAGCAGAAAGTCTGGGGATTCTAAATCGTACACAGTACACAGCTCCGTAACTCGAAAGCATCGCGAATTCCGAATAGCGACATCACCTTTTATTTCGAGGTTATATGGGGCGAGTTTGGGCGAGTTATGGAATCGAAACGCTTGCGCTCGGTCGCAATGCGCGATGCTTTCGAGTTTCGGGGCCCTGATCTAATCTGACCTCAGCCGTAAATACCACATAATCCGTCCGAGGTTCGCAAAAGACCTTGAAAAACAGTTTCTTGTGGCAATCTGTCCCCCATTCGAACGGGAACGGTCTCTCTTTGTTCGGTTTGTGAACATCTACTTAATGAAATCATGTCCAGTAATAAATGCTGACGAGCATATTGAATGTACATGTACCTCTAAGGAGCTTCGGTCCAACTGTGTAGTATAACACCTGTATCTTTAATAACACCTGTATCTTTAATGCAGGGAGCTTGGATATAAATAAAACAATAATCGCCCACTAAACAAAAGGACATTGCAACACTATTTTATTCGATTGTTGAGCTGCAGGCGGTATGGAATTCTTGAATTCCTGTAAATGTGAACTCGTAATCATTTTTTAAATATATTTCTTTCTATCAGCTTACTTAAGCCTAGATTAATGTTTTCTTTGGGTGCTGTCTGATGCGTGGACGGTTTTCTGAGCCATTTTCTCGACATAGTAAATTGCTAGTGCCCACGGCGAGTTCGTTTATACAACTGTATTACGTGCGGGTGCCGTATGTGCCATTTCTCAGTGATGGCCTTAAGTTTACGTAGAGGAATATCTATTCTGCTAAATAATAAACAACATTGTAAAACATACAGCACAAAACAACACAAACAACATATACTGTGCGTATTTGCCCAGTTCTCGCACGTGTTTTATTTCAAGCCATCTTCAATTATTTACAACGAACCCCAATATAAAAAGGGATTTTAATAAATATATCAGAAACCTCCACACCTACACATTTATTTAATCTTTCCCTTTTATATAGGGAATCACCTGGAAACCACCTACTAAACAGCTCTTATTGAGCAAACGTTTCATCTGACGTGTGTATTTAATACTTCCTATGTTCCAATTTTATCTTGCGCTACAATGTTAAAATAACATCATGTTGACAATATCCACACATGTGCATTCATATAAACGTATGTCTATATAAAACCATAGAAGTAGAGAAAATGGAATGCCAACTTCAAATCTCTTCTACTTCTATGATAAAACATAGCCTACCCACGAACACATAGAAACACTTATACATTGTAGACCTACACACCCGTATACATATACATGTACTGTAGTACTGTACGTCCTAGCACACTCTCAGAAAAGTTGAATATAAATGATGCAATGAAAACAAAAGTGATTATAATGGATATAATATAATAAAATATAACTGATTCTATTTTCTTCACCCATGTGTTCAGAATAAAACATAAACAAAATCATTTTTTCAAGTTTTTGCATCTTCGAATCTTTACTAGTGAATCTTTATGCTACTATTGTTATGCCTCCTGAAACCACCTTAAGCCTCGGTCACAACCGGCCGTACGGGCTCTTACGGGCTGTTTGCGTCCAAATTTTGCGCAGAATCTCACGTCCCACGCAAGGCCTTCTAACGCAATTTCGAGTTCGCAGACAGCCCCTAAGCACGTATGGAGGATGTTGGACATGTCCAAAAGATTCTACGAATATCCTGCGAACAGCGAGGCCGCAAGCTTAACTTGCTCCCTCGCACGGAGTTAGCAAGAGAGACGCGCGTTGTGCAAGCCGCATGTCGCAAGCAATGAAGGAGCAAGTGTAACGTGTACAACAATTTTCAAAATTTTCAAATTTTTGCTCTATTTAGTTTCTAAAATGCCTCCAAAAGGCAAGAGAAAGAAGCTTACATAGTAGAAAAAAGGGAGGAGGAAGAAAAAAGAAGGGGAGAACAGGAAGCAAAACTGACGTACGCCGTCAGTACGTCATCACAAACGTGTGAGGCAAGTGTTAAGCAAAACTGACGCAAAAGGGCACTACTTTCGCCGTGCGTTGCATTCCCTTCGTAAGTGGTGAGTTTGTACCACGTACACAGGAAGCAAGACAAACTCAAGAAATGAGTACAATTTCCACGACCATCGCTCCTTGCAATCCCTGCCTGAAAGGTCATCTCAAGTGGCCCTTGCGACTCGCAAGGCAGACTTTCCTCTACCTCTACGACCTCCACGGCCTCTGCAACACCTAAAAATCGCAGGGGACGCACGATCCTGAAAATCGTGCGTCCGGTTGTGACCGAGGCTTTAGTTGGAAGGGAAAAACACCAACAACAGTTTCCGCCATTATCACAATCACTGCAAGTCAGACGTAAGTGTAACTCAAGCTTCAGTTGAAAGTGCTAGTAACGGGGCATGTTGATATGGCCGTCAGCCTATATCTGAGAAGAGTTTGATATATTTTATGCATAAACTTAATTTTGGTCCGGTTTGTAAAATAAGCCTATGAACTATTGCCAACTTTTAATCAAGTTTCAACTAAAATTGTAGGTTTTCCTTAATTGGAAAATTTTTTGTCGAGACTCGAAATGAGTTTAAATAAAACTCAAAATATAGTCGTCTATACACTTTTTTTGTTAAGTGACTGTCATGAAAAGGAAATTTTTAATGTTGTTCACAAAAAGGTCTTTCTGGAGTGTTTCAGTTCGCCTTCAAGAAAAATGTCTCATCTGTGATTCCAAAAGTTCGAAAAAAGGAAAGTTGAAGCGCGACATTCAGACGTTAAAACATCTAACTTAACTCCAATCTTTTAACAGCCATTGCTCTCAATTCTCGGCGGTTGATTTTGCCGTTACCTGTTCTTGGGAAATTTTGGAAAGCAAGAAAGTATCGCGGTGCCAGTGTAAGGCCATCTGGACCTGGCAGAAAGGACTCCCCGCACCACGTCTCTAACTCCTGGAGCTGCTCCTCCACAGGATTGGCGTCATCATGGAACTGGACGCATGCGCAGAGTTCCTCATAGAACCGGGCATCCGGTACTCCTACAACATACGCTTGGACGATCTTTGGATGCCGCACAAGTACCTCCTCGACTTCTGCGGGCTGAACCTTTACAGTGGCCCTTTTGATGATATCCGACTTCCTCCCGACAAAACGCACCTGTCCCTGATCGTTCATGACCATCATATCACCAGTTTTGTACCAGCGGAGAGGGGTTAGGGCGCGCGCTGTAGCTTCGGGGTTGTCCAGGTAGCCGCTGAACACGCTTGGTCCACGAACACACAGCTCTCCTACGGTTCCTTTCGGCACAAGCCGGTCATTGTCGTCCACCACTTTGGCTTCAACACCGCTGCATATTGTGAGGAAACCGAAGTCCGGTCTTTTGACGTTGCTGCTGTTGGTCATTTGCCGGAAGGTAAGAATGAATTCTGCAGAGCCGAAGACCTGTACGAGCGTCAAAGACGGGTTTTTTTCCACAAACGACACGGCTGACTCCTGTAGTATTGGCTGGCCTCCCGTTATCGCGTACTTCAAGTGTGACAAATCGTAGCTATGAAAATCTTTACTGGAAATGAAGTCATACATCATATAAGGCATGGCAAGAAGATGGGTGCACCTTTCATCCTGTAGTATCTTCTTGACTAAATCTGTGTCCGCTTTTTTAACCGATATCTCTGGATCCATGGAAACAAGCGTTATTCCGGTGACCGCCATGAAGTTAATACCAAAACCAACACCCCCTGCCCAAGTAAATGGCCGTTCGTTAAGAAGCCGGGATCCATCTTCGAGTCGAGTTATCTCAGCAGCAGTAAAAGTGGCTTGAATAAATTGAAAGTGGGTCATTGTCACCGCCTTGGGTCTCCCTGTGCTGCCGGATGTCATCATTCCAAGGAGCAGATCCTCCATTTGAACACGTGACTGAGCTGTTGCAACTGCATCTTTTTCCTCCGCCGATATGTGGTTGGGGTTCGGTCCCATGACAGCATCATAAGAGATGGTGTTTTGACCACCGCCAAAAGAAACGCAGACTGCAAGGACGCTCTCGACGCCTTGCCCCTGGTCTTTCTGCTGAAGTGCTTTCACCACACCCTGGGCGTACCCCGGCCTGCTCTCACAGGACTGAACCATGATTGCTTGGCATTTGTAATACGTCAGCTCTTGTAAAACCTCTTCTGATGACGCCCCAAATTTAAGCAGAAGAAGAAACACACCGATTCTTGCGCAGGCCATTTGAATGACAATGAACTCCAGGCTGTTTGGTGCAACAAGCAATACACGGTCGCCATGAGTGAGACCGGATCGAAGAAGACCTAAAGATATTTGAAAGATTTTATTATTTCTGAATTTTTTCTTTAATGGTTTTTTATGTTAATAAGATTCAAAATTTAATTATTATTAATTTTAAATATTAAAATATAATCTAAATTAGCGCGCTCTGCTGGCTGTAACAGTGCATAACATGGTGTTGGTTAGTATCATGAAGGTGGTTTACATACCTGCCGCCAGTTTGATAGACTGGCTTTGGTATTGCTTAAAGGTGAGCCGAGTTCTTTCTCCGTCCGATTTATAGATGACAGCAGCCTCTCTTTCCGGGTGAACTTTGACCCCTCGGTCGAGATAATGAGGGAGAATGTGTCTCTGGTATTCTCGACTTGACGGGTGAAATGTGTAACTCAGGGGCTCTGGCAAGTCTGAAAAAAGGTATATATATATATATATATATATATATGTGTGTGTGTGTGCGCGCGCATGCAAACACGCTGATGTACTGCCATCAAAATTTCTGGAAAGGAAATTGAATTGATGCTTTTTTATTTCTTTATTAATGGAGGCTTTATAACAAGTGTCAAACGACGTTACGGTCCACTATCTATGAAATCTATTGATTTATCGAGCAGCAATCGTTTGTAATTTACTGGGATAAGATCTCACATTTCTACGGGGAAGACAAAAGAGCGCATTAGACTCATTTTCGGGAACGTATTCAATATGCTGGCATCGGCCAACATCTTACAGTACAGCCGGAAATGACCAGCAGCAGTTTACACCAGAACGCAGCGCTCCCCATTAACCCGCTGCACACCCAAACCCAATATAGAGGTGCAATTGATGTCACAAGCATGTTATTAAAAATATTTACTGCACAGATTGCTAACTGTGTTTGATTATTTTAGGGTCCCACATGAAGAAGCTTGTATAAAAGTTTCACTCTCCTGGAACCATGAATAATTAAAAATAATTCATCGTTTAACCCCAAAAAGGAACATACGTTACTGTCACAAATACAAAACGTCCAACTGTGAAACGTTCTACTCACTTTGAAAATTCAGTCATCACTGGTTTTGTGCATTGATTTATCTCCTACAAGTATAACGTTGCTAAAAATTATAATAATCTTCTGTATAGACCAGTTAATTGTTTTTGAGCGACGTAAGTTTGCTTGTCACAGAATATTCGCCCTACCGACAGTAAAATAAGCATTGAATAAACATGTTTCCCTTCATGATCCAAAGATTATATCAGAAATGTCAAACTATCATGGAACCACAATATATTGTTCGGTCAGCAAAAGAAAACATTGTATCTCTTGCACACAAGTACTTGAACAAAATGAAACATTTTGACAATTTTTCTAGGGAACATACGTTACCTAGTATAAGCCATGACGCAAAGCCCCTTGAGATACAGTTTAAATATTCATAAAAACGTCCTTACGTCATGTCTAATTAACCATGACTTAACCACTAAAAAACATATCGGAACGCGGCATAAAAACGAAAAATAAGTGGCAAGAACATACGTTACCGTACGTTTTTTGGAACATACGTTACCAAATAGTGCTCTTTGCTTAATGTTAAAGATATGGTAAAAATTAAAAATTGAATTTCAGTTGAGACAGTCGTGGATTTTTGTTCTATATACATACATGTTTTGAAATATTGAATACAATTTTGAATTCATTCATTTTTATTTTTTGACACTTCAACATGTGAAATGCACCTCTATATTGGGTTTGGGTGTACAATTCCTGGGTAGAACTGCCAAGCTCAGAACAAAAACGCAGTTTGACTCTTCTTGTAAAAAGTCTCTAAGAAAAAAATACACGTGCTTGTTGAAAATAAAAAAAACATATGGCAGTACGTGTATGTATGACAGGGTCATGTCCCGCCGACAAAACTAAGGGGACAAGTTTTGTGCATCAGTGTTTCTGGCAGCAGAGTTCAAATTGGTGATCGTTCAACAAGTAATATTTCCTTCAATATATAAATCTTTGAAGTGTTATTTAAACGTAAAAAAAAGAAAGCTAACCTTGTTTCATGTCCTCCATCTCGGTGGCTAGTGTGGCAGGCCCTATCAGTGTGCAACAGCAAGGTGTTCACATGCTACACCAGACGGAATACAGGGGAATAATGTGGTTAAGCAAATAAGATAAGTCAAGTTTATGAACTGCCAGGATGTCAGTAACCGGAACAGTCTGCCCACTTGTACCCTAGTCTTAGCGATATGCGTACGTGAATTTGTGACCTCGTTATCGTTGAAATAACGGCATTCAAAATGCACTACCAAACCAGACCCCAAGCCGGAGAATGAAAAATATTCATGAAGTGAAAACACATAGATAAGATCGCATTCAATGGCCCATTTTAGTTACATGAAATTTTGCTTGAGATTTTAATTATAGATTCATTTCATATTGGACTAATGATGAGAGACTGGACTATAGAGGGTGGTGATGCCTCGGTCTTCTAGGCCATGGTAGAGTTTGGTAATATTTGTGGACGTGTTGTATAGAGCGCAGATGAAAGGGAATGGGATTACTAAAAGAACAGTTCATTCAACTGCACCGTTCAAAGCAACATATGAGACCAGACATAAGCATCGTTGAGGACAACGCGAGCCTTGAACTGCAGCAGAATTCCAAGTTCTAGCTACGTCATACAAACTCTGCACAAGAGAAAGCATCGTACGATATAATAGTTAAAGATACAACCAAGGTCACTTTTCAGCTCTGGTTAAGACACCCTCTCCTTGTTCTCGTATTCGTCAGGTTTCCATGCACAAATCCATGAATTCAAATGTCAGTGAAGTATATCAGAGTGATACTGGGTGGTTGTTTGCTCTCAGTTCAACACGTGACCAGTCCCGCCTCCAGGAAACAGACAGACTTGGGACCCATATGGTACCAACAGGTATACCTAAAGGATATAACCACGTGCACGATTGAAACAAAGAATAATGTTTGAACTTCCGAGTTGTGAATATTATCTTAGGCTACGTATGCACTGAATCAAAGACTATAAGAGTTCAACTTCCAATGCGGGAGTTTAATATCATACCATTAATCTATGACTGACAAATCAGGTCACCAGACAGTGGTCCCTGGCAAGATGAGCGTGTTTGCAAGAAATTTACAAGTATTTTTTTCCAAGTAGAAAATTATTTTTAAAAGTTTGTCTGCAAATAATGTGTTCTCGTTGAATAAACTTAATGTATATAAAATCTTTCTTAAAATGAGGAAAGCTTCGAACTTCTCACGAACACAAATTTTAATAATTCACAAGGTACTGGTAACACTTCACCGAATGCTAGCGGCCGTCACCTGGCTCAGGTGGCGAGGAAGAGGTCGTCACTGCGGTTACTGTCGACGTGATCATGGCGGAGCGGCTGGATTTCTACCCCTCGTAACAAAACGGGTTTGTTTCTCCCAGATTTTATTGTCTTGTGAATCTTATTTCAAAAGAGAATCCGTGTTTCATTCTCTATCCATGCTGAAGCATTACGACCGTTATTTTTTAATTTTATTCTTTTTTTGCATTAATTTTTATAGTAACCCTACACTTAAAAACAAACAATTGTATTACGTTTCAGAGTAAAATTTGGATGGTTGTCTGATGTCTTTACGTCCATATCCTATTCAATTCAGCTCTTTTAATTTACATGAGCTTCTAAACAAACAAATTCCAGAGTGCAGTTGGTATTAGTTCATTTACGCTAGCTAGCTAGGTCTCATCGAAGTATTCCATACTTAAGTGCCTGGCTAAGCGTGAAGACATACAGAGAACCCCAACAAGGAATTATGAGTAGGATATTCGAAATAAGCCTTCTCTGTGATGTGTCCTTTATTCATACAATACACCATGTTGTAGAATGCTGTAGCACCCTACTCACAGCATGTCGCACGGTACCAGTACACGGTCAAAACCGGCTTAGGTTGCTAAACTACTGGTAATTAACTTTGAAACCAAAACTTCAAAATGGTGTATTTTGGGGGTCAAACAGATCTTGCGACAAGAACGGGCCGGGACCCAGCTCTACCAATTCAGGACCCGGGGGTCACATTCTGTCGAGGACCAGATTAGACCGGGTTCCCATACTTAGATCGATCTAAAAGGATCGATCCATCTCCCAGGGGATTCTCGCTAATTTGCTTTCATTAATTTGCTTGGATGTCTGGCACGCCTACTGAAGAGGCTAAACAATGATTATTTACCCCCTAACAGCTTCAGTAGGCGTGAAGGACATCTAAGCCGCTTAAGTTGATTGCAATTTAGCGAGAATCCCCTGGGAGATAGATCGATCCACAGTTAGTACGAAAGGATCTGGGAATGGTCCCTTAGGGACATCTAAGCCGCTTAAGCTGAAAGCAGTTTAGCGAGAAACCCCTTGGAGATGGATAGACCTTGTTAGATCGATCTAGGTATGGGAACCCAGTCTTAGAGTTCAACGTATGTGCTAGCTGGTAAACATGTCCAAGTACCGGGTAACGTAAGTTGATCTGTGTAAGAGAAGAGCAGATGTTGATGGTGTCAAAACGCCAGGATTAGAGATAACGACCTCGACTTCAACGAATATCTATAACATTTTATCTAGTAAGGTCGTTCTGACGTTCTACATTTCACTACGGATCAAATAGACTCTCTTTCACAGAGCTATGCTAATTAATCATCATGATACGGTATATTGTTAACGTCCATAATATGACAGACATCTATGGATATATAACCATCCATTCATTTTCAGTTATTTTGTTCTTGTCTCAAACAGTTTACTGAGTTTGCTGATTATTTTCCTAATAAAATGATAATTGTAAGGTATATTTGCATATTAGTGAATGAAATGTATAGTTAAATTCAACGAGTTTTGTTTAACCAGGTTCAACTAGTGCTGCCACTCAAGGTTAAAGAACTTGCGTAAGAAGCAGTTTGACTTTGTGTAACTAGTATAGATGTAGATATCATGATCTTAAGTGGAGAGAACCCCGGCCGCTGTGGAAGGTGCTGACACAGTTCTGGAGGTGATAAGATTATCTTACCTGGCCGCTGACATCCACTTCCACATACACACCGTGCTACACTCCAGCTTTCTGGAAGACATACACGATGACCAGCGATGGCAAAGGTATATACGTACAATTTTGATGTCAATATACTTTTGTGGTGTAAAATTTAATCATTTCTTTTGGTTACGGATTGGCCTAAAAGGGCACATTTAAAGGCTAGGCATGTCAGAGTATTTGCTGGATAGAGTCAATTATAAAGCAAAATATTGCGGACAGTACACGAGGCTTTATAGGAGTCTAAAAACAACGTCATTCCCTTCAGATGGATTTACATTAAAGAATGTTAGAATTGAGAATAAAAGAGAAATGCTACCGAATTAAATTCAAATAATGCATCCCCCTCCTTTCCGTTATAAGATACAAGGTAAATGCCTGGTCTATTATTTATAAATCTGTTATATTGTTATTAGCTTTGCGATATCACATTGTTCACATTGTATTTGCGTTATCTTTTTGTTTTTGTTTGCCATATCATATTGTATTTAGTTCCATTTTGCCCGTTCTTTCCAACATAGCCATATTCTTTTTGTGATGGAGCTAGTTGAATTCAACAGTATCTTATAATTTGAAGTCATATAATCATGCTCCAGCAATAGCTGGGTTAACAGCCAGAGTCTCCATACACTCGATTTCAGCATGAAGAATACAATCAACAGTTAATTTCATGGCGTCCTCGTGATCTTACCAAAAATTACTTTATAGAGTTATAGCTCGAAAATACCATATAGCTACTGGTAAAGGTACATGCCGAGTTCAAATGACACTCTCTGTATTGACCTTTTCTGAACGATTATGAACAATGAGAAGTACAAATTTCGAGCGGAATTATTGGATTTATTGTGTCAGATGACATTAGTTATAAGCAGAAGCCACCGCACAAAAAAAACAAATAAACAGGGAAATACTAGGTGGCTTTAATTTAACAGTCCTTTTTTATAAATGTTATAGATTCACAACCCAAGCTGAGTTACATCCACAGACCGTCCAACAGGATCTACGATTGTAGTATTTTGCCGGATCATCTTGAGAAATGGATAAAAGTCAACCCGGATGGCGACGCTTTAGTGATGTACACACATTCCGGAAATCGACGCCGTCTCACCTTCCGCCAATACCACATACAGTCCATGAAAGTGGCCGCAGGTTTGTTGCTGGGGTATTCGACATTGAGTACTTATATAGTTTAGTAAACCTGCTTTATTTTTGTCTTTCCTCGCATTCAAATCATCTGTTCTTTAAAGGGATAATAACTCTTCGTATGAGATCCATATTTCACAATAAAAACATTGTGAATAACTCATAGAAATATAATATATTCTGTTTTATCACAAAAACGGCAGTTATAGCTATTATTCTGACATCTGAGCTTGTCTTTAGACCACGTGACCTCCACTGATGGCTATACACTGTTAAAATCTCTTAAGAGATTTTAACAAAAAAACCAAACTTTTTAGAAAAAACAGAGACTGACTTTGAATGTAAAAATGGATTCATTAACCATTGGTAAGTATGGGAAAATTGTTGTTTACTCCAGGAAAATTCTTTTTTTTTTTTTTTTTTTTTTTTTTTTTGCCCAAACGAAGAGTTATTATCCCTTTAAATGTTTATTTTCATTCAAAGCAGCTACATTGTAAAATATTTTCAGGATCTGAGAAATGAAATGATAACGGTTACAAGGGGTAACATATAGCTGAATCTGGATATTATGATATTTGATTCATCTCTGCTGTTTATTGCATGTTGTAACTTGACATCTGAAACGAAATATAGGAATCTTATTAAAGGTACAATGCTCCATTTTACGTTTTATATGTCTTTGAGAAATGAAGTTTTCTAAGAAACCACATATAAGGCATATAAGTGTAATATTTTGGTGTTCATTACTTTCCTTCAAGTTTGATCAAAATAAGTAAGTTAGATTTATGACCCTGATAAGGCATTCCAAGGATGGTAAGTTCAGTGTAAAGGGATATAGTAGTGCCTATGAAGGGGGGGGGAGCTTTTCATTTTGCTCCGTCCTCCTTAGCTCAGCCATTGGTGATAAACCCGCTCCTGAAGTTATCAGTAAATATACAAACACCTTGTGTAATGCATGCATTTGTCTTAAATTGACAAAGACAAACATTTGATCAATTCAACCTTATTTCCAGGTCTTCTTCAATTAAAACTATCTCGCTTCGACCGTGCCTTGATCTTGGTTCCTAACAGCTGCGAATTTCTCGTCATTCAAATGGCATGTGCAAGAATTGGCGTCTTTGCGCTGTTCATGAAATATGGGGCCTCTCCTGAAGAGGTTTCACTAATGGCATCGAAGTACAAGTGTGCGGCAATCATTGTCCAGACATATGAGGGGAAGGAGAGTTACGGACGAAGTGTAGTTAATGCGTGCCAGAGAATGGAACCGGATAGAAATGTTCGACTCATTGTCTGTGTTGACTTCGATGGTGGACCAAAGACTTCCCAGTACCGCGCCCTGCTTGGCAGCGATCCCCAATATCTTTCTGAGAGTGATGAGTCAGCAGTTCGTGCTGCGCAGGCGCAGGTCCAGATGGAAGATCCAATGGTAGGCACCTTGACATCGGGTACAACTGGCGAGCCGAAGGTGGTCTCTGCAAACCATTTCCAATCCATTCTGCGGGCCTTCTGTGTCGGAGAAAGATGTCTGATCAACACCGAGTCCCGATACCTTAACGAACGACCATTTTCCTGGGTTGGTGGACTGCTGCTTGGCGTGCTTCCTGTCTCCGTGGTGGGAATCACACTCGTCTCCATGGACCCGGAGATATCGGTGAAGAAGGCAGACACACAACTCGTCATGAAGATCCTACAGGACGAAAGGTGCACCCATTTTCTTGCGATGCCTTACATGATGCATGACTTCATTCACTGTGACGTCGCCCATCACTTTGACCTGTCGAACTTGAAATACGCATTCACCGGGGGACAACCCATTATGAAAGAGATGGTAGAAAACTTTTTAAAGAAACATCCACAGATGCAATTGCTCCAAGGCTATGGTTCTTCAGAAAACACGTCAGTGAGCACTCAGACGAGAACGACTGACACCATAAACGACCCTGGGTTTGGTTATCTCGAGCTCGCTCCCGATTTTGAAGCCAAGATTGTGGGTGAAGACGACCGTATTGTTGCCCGCGGCGTCATGGGGGAACTGTGGCTGAGGAGCGCTATGCACGTCACGGGTTACCTGGACAACCCTGAGGCAACTGCTCGGGCTTTCACCCCTCTCCGTTGGTTTAAAACCGGGGATATGATGGTGATGGACGAGCAGGGTCACATCAGGCCCGTGGGGAGGGTGGCGGATTCCATTAAAAGGGCCACGGTTCTCATCCAACCGGCAGAGATAGAAAACGTCCTTGTTCGACATTCAAAGGTCAGCGAAGTATTTGTTGTGGGCGTCCCGGATGAGAGGCTGTACGAGGAGTTGTGCGCTTGCATCAAACTGAATGCAGGGGATACATCTGAAGAGGCTGATTTGCAAGAAATAGAGTTGTGGTGTGGAGAAATCTTTTTACCCGGTCCAGATGGTCTAACGCTTGCACCTCGATATTTCCTATCTTTCAAAGACTTTCCAAAGACAACTACCGGAAAGCTGAACCGTCGAGAGTTAGCGGCAGAGGCCACCAAAATATTGGGTCTTAATTAAGGGACGCTATTTAACATATTTTCACTTCTGAAAATTATGTGCTGGTATACGTTTAAGATATTTCATGCAGTCTTATAAACAAAGGTTTCATTAGTGAAAGTACAAATGTCAGAGATGGCGATTTTCTGGTTATTTTACGTTCTTGTACGAAAGCAAATAAAACAATAGCAGAAACTAAGTAAGAAATTGAGTTCGTAATATTTTGAATTGGCTTTTTAAGCAACAATTCCATTTTTACAAGTCTGGGTTGTTCCCTGGCTCGGGATATGGTACAGAAGAACCATTTCATTAAATGGGAGTGCTCATCTGCTGCAATCGGTGGACGCATTTTTAAACATTGAATAATGGGGTGTACAAATGTAAAGCATAGGACATGCTAACAGCAATAATATACTTCCTCTTTCTAAAAGATTGATCTTAAAAAGGTGCTGGTACTCGCCATGTTTTGTCAACATTTAACTGGATATATATATATATATATATATATATATATATATATATATATATATATATATATATATATATATCCAGTTAAATATATATATATATATATATCCAGTTAAATAAATATATATATATATAATAATATATACATATGAAAGCCAACCTGGCAAAAAATTGTTTCTGATAGACATGGAGTTTTTAAAGTTGTAAAACAGTAAATGGTACATCATACAGATAGATTATCTTGGGTAGAGTTTCCGACAAGTGCTTCAAGGCTATATAGCAACTGATATCATTTTTGATAAAAGAAATCCGTAAATCATTTATTATGATATATAAATGTTATTATAACACCACTTTAGAACATATCTGTAAAACGATGAATGCATTAAGTTATAAGGTGTGATGTAGTTTGAAGTGCTATAGATGGTCATTACTCCATCTCACAGAATGAGACACGTTTTAATCCTAAACAAAATGATATTTGATTCTCGTGGAGTATCTTGAAAACCATTACCACTTTTGCTACGCATGCATGTTTAATCAATCAATCATATCCCTTATATATACAGTGGGTGTATGTAATAATGACCGTAGGAGAGTTTGTGGCTTCAGTCCACACTTGCATTGATAGAAAGAGGTGTCTGTGTCTTTTGTACCCAACTACATGTCATGTCGGAGTAGACTGCGCTACTCCTCCGTACATGTCTCAATATCTCATCTTAACACTGAAGATATAGGTACATGTATACTAGACTACGCCTCAGAAAGCAACCCTGTACCTCAAGTCTGCCGAGTTCCAATTTCTTCGTTAACAAATCTCTATATGCGTCGCATGCTGTCAACGACAAGTTTGGCTGAAGATTAATGTTTCGAGCGCAAACGCTCGTTTTTTTTTTTTTTTTTTTTGTTTTTTTTTTCGTATCGCAGAATGACATGTGACGTAGTTAACAGAACTGCGTAACATTTGTAACTGACGCGGTAAACTTCAGGGCCGCCTAAAAATAAGTTAAGAAGCAGTATTCAGGCACATACAGAAATTGGAGAATGAATTAGTTAGTCCGCATTTTGACTCAGTCTGTACTTAAGAAAATAAACAATATTCTTTTGTACAGGTATTTTACAGATGTCATGAACCATTTGCATTATTTAGACGCTTTATCTGTAGGTAACGTTGCTTTTCCATTATCATTTGTTTTCTGATCGATCCCTTGTACTTTGCATTTTTTCAATATATCTGACAACTCTTTATCACGCTGGAAGAGATCTTCCCTGATTTTCTTCAGATCCGCAGCGCCCAGATGGGCGTGTATGTGTTTGTGAGGGGATGATACTTTGGATCCGCTGAGAAATTCTTTTGCCTGAACGGGAAGACTGTTATGTACTTTTTCTACTGAAGCGAGGAGTTTCTGCAAAAATTTGATTTCCATCTGCCCAGTTTTCAGCGCCAAGTCTTTTTCCAACATTTCGCGCTTTTGTCGCGAGATTTCGTTGACCAGCTGTTCCATCTCCTCGTCGTGTGACTTCTTGAGCACGTGATCAGGAGCCGCCTCCACTCTCTGCTTCTCTATCATGGTGGACCTAGATATCGTTTTCTCCACTTCCTCGCGCATGACCAATTCTCGTCTAGTATAATAGATCTCCAGTTGCTTTTTCTGTTCTTCGATTCGCTGTTTGTCCTTGATGGCAGTTTTCCACTTGCTGTCAATATCTGCCATCCGCAACGCCATCTCCTTTATTTCTGCTCTCAGTTTCTGGTTTTCACCTTCAATATCTAGGACACTCGCGGTGCTGCCATTTTGCGCCTTTTCTTTTTTCTTTTTCAGAGATTCCAGAATGTGCATGCGTCTGTCCATTTCTGTATGGTAGATTTTCTCTTTGCTCTGGAAGAATTCTTCCTGTTCTTCGTTAAGGTCTTTCAGTCGGTCGATTTCTCTTTGTAAAACCCGGATCTTCAACTCCAGGTGTTCTGAGACTTCCACCGCTTTCTGGCGCACGAAATCCACCAGTGTCGTCTGCTCCTGGAAACTCAGTTTCTTTTGGAGGCGCGGGTGACGTTTCAAAAATTCTGAAAATAAAAAAGGATGTTTATGGATGAAACAACATTTCAAAATCGGGAGAATTGATTGATATCGTGTAAAAGCGAGATCAATCAATCATCAGTCATTTAGAACAATATAATCTAATAAATGATAAATACCTAAATGATAATAGGTAATTGCGACTTTTTTAGCTTTGTAATGATTGTGATCCGAATAGCACGTCTCTGTCGATGAAAAACAAAACAAACCGTTATTCACCGAGGCCAAAACAATACAATACGCGGCTCGATATTTAATGCAAATGTGAGGTTGCGCTTTACTAAAACCACCTCCAAGGCGTGTTTTTACGGATTGTATACACAAGAAGCGTACTTCAGACAGAGATTTCCGTTTTCCGTTTTTGAAAGTTTCATTTATGTAGGGTTTGCATCGTGGATAATCTCTTTATGTTTGTCTATTCCAAAATGCACAATCTGTCGTAGAAGCATTGAAAATAAGCAAATACATACACGGTCTATGTCGACTGTGACTGGCAACAGTGAGTTTTACACAAATATAAAACCTATTGAAAGTACATGTATACCAAAGGAAATTACTGAATTCGATAATGAATACAACTTATTGATATTGCATGATCTTAATGTACTGTTGATCATGTTAGTATTGTACTGCAGTCATTAAGCTAAGAAAGACATTCCTTAATGGGGTTGAACTGAATCTTTGTGGATAGCCCACAAAGCATGGCCTTAAGTCAACGTGAGGGCGGAACCCAGGGATTTACGGAACCCGCTGAAAAACAAAGTTCTTTAAAGCAACTATCATTATTAAATCTGTTTTTGCTGTGGACATTTTTATCAATTAGGTCAGATAATACGTTTTTATGGAGAATTGCATCTTGTTCTCCCTCCCTTATTTTTTTACTTCGAAATTAACCATCCTAAGATATAACTAATGGGTTGTTGTCTGACACTGATCATACATGGATTTTGACTTCCCTCCCCTCGCCGTAACCGGGGGTAACATCTATAACATCTATTAAGGCGTGATAGTTCGCCTGCCTTATTTGTCAAATTCCACACCATCCCCACCGTTCGTGTATGTCCCCAGTGCTAAGTGGAGTTTGACTGACTTTCTAAAATATTTCACTACTTTAACAGCAAATCGTTTGATTGTTTATCCGATCACGCGTCACCAACCATTTACGTCCTCGATATTTTCAAATAGAAGCACGCGTGCGCTCAATGCCTAGCTTCTTTCCAACAAAACGCTTAATGTGATACACTATATTTTACTGTTTTTGGCGAACTATTTCTTTTTTCTCCGACGATTATACCTCTTAAATAGAAATATACAATATCCGACAAACTTTATAGATGTACATGTGTGACCTTCTCATGTGTTTAAACTGGACGCGCTTTGTATTCATAGTCGTATATCAAAAGGACTATTCTTACCTATCATTGAACGGTGGTGGGAAGCATACATTTCATACATATTCATGTTAAGATTGTGAACAAATACCTGTCACAGTGCCTTGGACGAGAGCAATTCAATGTAACATGGGGTGCACTCAATGTTTTACTAACTGTCCCTGAGTTTGGAAGTGTGGCGTAACGTGAGGTTATTCTACAAGTGTGTTGGTGCATGAAGATATGTGATAGTGATAGTATATTGGTGCATTTTAACCGTTTTAACAAGCATTGTCAAGTCATACACCACATCTTTACAAAATATTTCAGGTAATGTTTTAACTATTTTGAAGAGCAAAGGCATCCTCACCAAGTCTGGCATTAGCTAAGAACCAATAACGGTGAATACAAAATATTTTTTGTTATAGACGGAAGATTTCCTTCAAGAAAGCGTAGCCATATAATTTTGAAACGACACGTGATTGTGTTTTCTCCTCACTGCCATTAACGGAGTATTCAATCAAGTAGTGGTAAGCTGATCGTGAGTGTGTTCGTTAACATGCCTCCACATTGCATGTCTGCACTGAACCGTCAGCTGTAATCAAGATGTAAGGTGAGGACAGGTAAGTCATAGGAGAACTCAGTCTTTGTCAGCTTAAGCTGTCAAACGTTCTTTACTAATATGGTCTCACCAAGTAAGGTGGATCGTATGTCGTGTGTACTCTGAATGAAAAAGAACTTTGTGCACTAAATGTTAGACCTGAAGCGGAATAAGCCACCTGGCTGCATCTAATGCAGTGAATGGTTTAAATCAAACATAGAGAAAAGATCAACCTCTTGTGTTGATCGAATGATGGCACTAGATTGTGAGAAGATAGCACCTGCTAACTTTGGACTCCATGCTATACAGTATGCTTGAAAATATTGTTGTTTTACCAACACAACTTCAAAAGATGGAGGTCATACAGGATCATATGTAGCTTGCTCAGCCCTCGAAAATGGAAGCTATATCTTCTTTTTGATTCATAACTTAATTAAAGGGCCACCACCAAAATCTACTTGGTCCACTCCCTACAGTTTATAAAAATCTCATCCAATTTAATATTCGTCTTTTAGATTTTGCATCAAGTTGCTAACAGACTGACAGACAAACGGACATACAGACAGACTGACAGACAAACGGACATACAGACAGACTGACAGACAAACAGACTGACAGACAAACGGACAGACAGACAGGCAGACTGACAGGCAAATAGAACCAATTGGTAACACATCACCTCCTTGGGGAGGGTCATTACACCAGTGACCGTCAACAATGGGTGCATTTAAACGATTGATGCCTAGCTCGGGTCAGGTCTTGGAAAAGGATTGGATTTACTTAATGGTTGAAAAGGCCAGAAACTTTACACAAACAGGTTATTTTGAACACAGATGACGTGAAATTGACCGTGAAAAGTGCAGTGAAGATCAGGGAATTTATACCTACAATGAAACACGAGCACAAATCAACATGTCCTAGTGTGTTTGTTAATGCAGGGGGCTTGGAAGGCATTCCCTGGGTTGTTTTGAACCAGGTGTTTTGTTTCAAATATATTTCACCTTAGAAACGTTGTGAGGGACTGATCAAGCGGAAACTGTACAGAGTCATTGATAAAAGCTGCCATAGACCGCCCAGGTCAACACACTGCTCATATTATACCAGAAAGGATTGTTTAATTCTGAATACCTTCTGGGTTTAATACATGTATGTCGGATTTTTGGACTGTATACATGAGTTACTACAGCAAGGATAGGTGTCTCTTCCCCCCCCCCCCTCCCCGGCCAACTGACCAGCAGGAGTCGTCCATTGCTGTTTAATGTTTGTCTTTACGGACCGAGAGGGGGCACAGGTAGATGGATCAGACCGGGGGGGGGGAGGCACAGGGAATTGAATCAGACCGTGGGGACGTACTTTCCCAATCAGCCTACTCCTGCCAATACCCCAAGTCATAGAAAAGCAAAATTTACTTGTTGTAGACATTCAAAAACAAAAGACTGATTTACATAATACGAAATCTAATTAACGCTTAATTACCTGCTTTTCTAATTTGAGTGTTTTGCTAATATATTTGATTCACTAGCGGCAAACAGTATGTGATTTCCCTGAACAATTGCAAGTCTCCAAGTCGACTTAATGCTAAAGTCAGGTATGAATTGAAAAGAGTGATGTTCAGTGGAGTCTCCAGAAATCAATGCCAAAGACACTGTCAACTGTCAATGTTTAACAGAGCGGTAGCGTGACTGAATAACCTAACACTGGAGTCAATAATCCACGTAATTCATGGTTTGATTCTTCCTCTCTTGACTTCACTTGCCATTTTTACACACGATATTATGAGATGTTATATTCATGCGATGAACGTTGTTATTTTTGTCGTTGAGTGCTTCTTTTTCTTGATATATAACTGGCTATGCTGTAGGAATTTTCTGGTGCTTATAAAACAAATAAAATTACAGAGACGGGGTCTTCATCATCAATTTCATTTGTAAATCTTCATAACACCACATGAAAACTAACATGTACTTGTAATGTTGCTTTTTTTTTTGGGGGGGGGGGTTAAAAATTAGACCCGCTAGGGAACTAAAACTAAACGTTAACTTTCCTCCTCCGCTCTAGCTGCTTTGGTTATATCCGAGATTAATTTCAGCTGCCAGATAACTCATCTTCTTTGTTTTCCTTCACATTAAACTCTCACATATATGCCTGTGTCTGATTTGGACACCAAAAATAAACGACGAATACCAGCAATATGCCTGAGACCAACCTCGCCTCCATATCACAAGTAAACAGATAAGATCTATACCCATAAACTGTAAAAATACAGATTATCTGCACAAGGTTTAAACTGAATGGGAATACAGTCAGAGGCAATGGTAATTATACTCATTGGTAAATATTAACTTTGCTGTTAAACCATGCAGCTGATTGTAACTATGTGACTGTATTAGTAGAAACAACATATTGATCTCATCTCAATTTGCTATCAAGTCGCCGAGTTGTATATCTTCGATGAATGACTCCTGTTTTGCCATACATGACATGGCCACTTTGTCATACATGACATGTAGACATTAGTAGCACTCAAACAGCTTCAATGTAAATGATTGTCCAATTTCGTTTCTTCTCTCTCTCTCTCTCTCTCTCACACACACACACACACACACTCTTTCTCTCTCTCTCTCTCTCTCTCTCTCTCTCTCTCTCTCTCTCTCATTCTCTCTGGTCTAGGTATTCTGGTCCTACCTGTTAAGTCCAAGGACACGTCCTCCGCTAACATCTCCCTCTCTGTCATCTTAATCTACTATGGTACAGGGTTGATACAAATGTGCCACGAACAATCTCTTGTTGTTTAAAACCAAAACCCAATGCTGTATCTGCAGTAGTCACAGTTACAACAGGTCACCGCAGACACGCTTAGTGTTTGAACGCCAGGTCTACGTCGAGGACAGGTAGATGTACATGTAAAGTCACCAAGGGACGCTGTACAGTAGGACCCCAGCAAACCCAGTGTAATCGTGGAGCGTGACTCACACCCTGATAACTGCAATCCAGACACCAGCAGCGACCAGATACAGATTACAAGTTGCAGTTCTACAGTGTGTCGTGTAACTGTCTCGGGAAATACTTTCTAAAAACAAAGTCACCGATAATGAAAACATCCGTCTCTGAGTAAAAAGTTTATCACCTGGATGATCAATGCTAAGAGCTCTAAGCGTCCGTGCATCGGCATCGATTCTGTGGAAGTGAATCCAGCGTGTTAGAGCTCCGCGACGTAGAAGGCGGCGTGGTAAACATATTACAATGCACGGTAAATACAAACGCTGGTATTTTTACAGGGGAGATGAAAAGATTGGGGCTTGAACTCGAGATGTTGTTTGAGTTAAGTCTTGTGATTTTTGCATTTCACTTTTTCAATTTCACCTTCGCAGCTATTCACGACGGTTAGATAATATTCGTTACGACTTAACACCATTAATATGAGATATGGGGAGTTTCATTTGTTTATTATTATTATTATTATTGTTTGTTGTTGTTGTTGTTTTCTTATCTAGCTTGTTTCATAAAAGTAACAAAAATAATAAATTAGTGGTTTTGCTTTTTTGATTTTGACCTACTATGCCATCTACTGTCGGGTAAGGTTTTCGCCAGTCACGATGAACAGCAAACATGAAGTTAATATCCACTTTCAAAAAAACGCTATCTTAAAGGTATACAGTACCGGTTGAAAATCCTCCAATAGTCATTTTTTTCTTTGTCTACATATCCTGCAAAGCTACTCATCTTTCCCAATTCTGGCCTTTAAAACCATAAAACCTCTCAAATTAAAGTTCCTGACGTCGATGGTTACTTTTGGAATGTACAGGGATATATGGCGCCCTAAACAGAACAAAAATTGCAGAACAATTGCATTAAAATGGAATAAAAGATCATTTCTAGCTGCACTGCACTGTCGAGCGATGTTTCATAAGTAGGAGAAATTTGTTTTGTCTTCGAGGAAAATTCATTTTGGCGGGTAAGTCCCGTACCTTTAATGAGCAATGGGACCTAGTGGGAGAAGTGGTTGGGCGTGGTAGCTGTTCTGTAAAGCCGCCTGCTAGTACAGTTCCAAGGGACTGTGAACAATGTGGACTTTGACGTGCTCCTTTTGTTGTCCTGAAGTTTGATACCAGATCGTGCTGTTCGTGTTGTCGTGGACACTTATCGGCGAGGGTTTCGACTCCTATTCCCCTCCCCCTTTGCCCTCTTCCCTCTTTTAGTGTCGCCATCTGCGCGGGCTGTTGTTTTTTTCATGTGACAAATCAGAAGCCAGACGAGTTAAGTAATAAGTAATAATAATAAGTAATAAGTTTATTGAGCACTAAATGATGTGAATACATTTGCAGGCTCTCTAGACTACAATATTTACACAATATATATATGGATATACAATTATATATGTTTACATATGTAGTATGTTAAATCATACATGTGTTAATGCAAATTATGCTATAATATTAATTAATTAAGCTATTCACAGCATTATTGACAATAAGTGGCTGTGATATACTAGATTTCAGGTGAACTATGTATTTTAACAGCAGTCTTTACAAATTCTGCTATTACTTTGAGACTTTTATGACAGGGTGGATTAAGGAGAATTGACAATATCTGATCACTGTCATCTAGACCCACTACACTGATTTTCAGTAGTTCATCAAGGCGAGTCAGCGAGGGCGAGTCAGCCCAATATATGTTGTTGCTGTTTAGTTGTCGTTATAACATTGTTTATAAACCATTTAGAATCTCCTATAGAAATACTGGGTAATGAAAGTTTGTATGAGTATTTGAACTTTATCTGATATTTATGATTATATATCTACTGTATTTCTTTGTTCGCTAAAGTAAGTTTCTCGTATTATTATTGTTATTGTTACATTCATTATTATAATTTTTTTAGTTCTGCTGAGTCAGTTGTTTAACGGGTATAACTTACAGTTTGGTTAGTGTATGAGAAGAAGTTGACATGAAATGTTTATTAACAGAGCATTATTACAAACGATGCATGCTTTGCATTTCAGCTAGCTTTTGAGACACTCTGTATTGGTTTACTAGCTTGTATTTGTCCATTAGCAAAAGTGGTTAAGTTTCCGTTTAAAAAACGCCGGTAGCAGTAACTGTTATCCTCTGGTCCTGAATTCACAAATAAAACATTGACAAGAAAATAAAAAGGTGGCCGTGTTTGAGGTGAGAGTGTCTCCAGGGTAAGGTGGCCGTGTTTGAGGTGAGAGTGTCTCCAGGGTAAGGTGGCCGTGTTTGAGGTGAGAGTGTCTCCAGGGTAAAGATAACAAATACTGCACGTCATTGTCGTTTTATTGAGAACAAAAAGGTACGAGCAAGTTACGTTGTAAAAAATAAATGAATCACATCGGTTTCTTTTAGGGTTATTTTATCTTTTTATTTTTGCTATTGTATGCAGGGAGGGTAGGAACTGTGACAACAGGCACGTATTGTGACTGGTGTTGTTGTTTAGCCGGAGGTTATTCATTTATACTGCAATGAAGTTTTCGCGTTGTTATTAGCACGGGCCAGAAACATCTGGAAAAACAAGGTCTATACTTCTTAACTTCACAAAACAGTAGAATAGGGGGTATATTAAATGCGAGAATCAGACGTGAAAGAAACAAAAGATACTGTAGAATGAATCTATCCTTCGCATTGACTCCGCCTCCGACACACGTGTAGACATCGCAGTCCAGGTAAAATTCCTGTTAAAACCTGCATCTACCATAACTACCATAACAGTCATCAATACATAGACCGGTGTCCTACGCCTGCAGTAGAGAGTCCTCCATGAGTCCGTACGACGGTCTGGTTTCTAAAATAACTGGACCCTGATAGTAGTGTACGTGATACATGGAAATTGGGTGTACTGTAATGATATCAGACCCTGCATCTCACGACACACAGTGTCCTCCAATCATATAGTACAACTGTATAATAAACCAAGGACGAGAACTGAATTCACGTCCTTGACTAATCTTTATCTGAAAGCTAGCGTCCTACTGTCCAATATTCGATATACATTGAAATCATTGTGTACGCGGTACTGTGTCGGTGGTCGGCACAGCGTCCTTCTGGGACCAGTTTCATCCACACTGGTTAACACTGTCCTTTGGTTTACACTATCATTGGATGGAAGTGTTATACTCTTGGCAGTTATCTGGTGGGTAAAGTGATGTTTTCTAAACGCTAGATACTTATTTTTGTTTCGGATATTATGGTTGGCAACAGCTGCTATCCCAAGGATATTTGTATAAGGCTAACAATTTTGTCCATTGTATAGTGGCATCCACAGGATACATCTTGCTTCTCCGTACCTTACTGAATATATTTTATCTTTTAGGAATCCATGTGTGTACTAGTGTAAGGGAATTCATCAATGCTAAGTTGTACAAAATGTCTTTCATTTAAAAAAGATGGAATACACTGTATTTTATTCTTACTATATATGGAGGTGCATTGATGTCGTGTTGTTTAAATTTTTTTAAACAATATACGTTTGTTTTAAGCTGCATACTTCAGGTCTAAATGGAATCAACCCAAAGGAAAATGTTCGTTGTTCCTCAGTGCATAAAATCGCATGCTGATCACGAAATTCTCGGTATTAAAACACGGGGTCCTAGGACTGTCCGTACCGACATTAGAGTGTCCAGTGGGGGACCCTACATTTAAGAACTCTGAGTGTGGGGCCCGGTATTTCGAGACAAGAAACTAGACGGGCCTTGGAATGGCAAGCTCCGTGTTGCTGACACGGGCGTGTACTCAGATAATAGCAACCTAAAATAAAGCCTGTTTCGAATTCGCTGCTCGAAGAACGAACATCTCTCGGTGGAGGCCGCAACTGAAGGCTGTAACTGAACACATATTTCTTTACATAACACAGTGTAACGGTATTCTTGACATTACATATTGTGAGATACTCATTTCACGAGGTTCTAACTGTTACTTTTGTTTGTTTGTACTTAATTTAGATCAGTTNATTATCAGTAGTTCATCAAGGCGAGTCAGCGAGGGCGAGTCAGCCCAATATATGTTGTTGCTGTTTAGTTGTCGTTATAACATTGTTTATAAACCATTTAGAATCTCCTATAGAAATACTGGGTAATGAAAGTTTGTATGAGTATTTGAACTTTATCTGATATTTATGATTATATATCTACTGTATTTCTTTGTTCGCTAAAGAAGTTTTTCGTATATTTACCTTGATTATGTAATCTACCCCAGTAAGTTTCTCGTATTATTATTGTTATTGTTACATTCATTATTATAATTTTTTTAGTTCTGCTGAGTCAGTTGTTTAACGGGTATAACTTACAGTTTGGTTAGTGTATGAGAAGAAGTTGACATGAAATGTTTATTAACAGAGCATTATTACAAACGATGCATGCTTTGCATTTCAGCTAGCTTTTGAGACACTCTGTATTGGTTTACTAGCTTGTATTTGTCCATTAGCAAAAGTGGTTTAGTTTCCGTTTAAAAAACGCCGGTAGCAGTAACTGTTATCCTCTGGTCTTGAATGCACAAATAAAACATTGACAAGAAAATCAAAAGGTGGCCGTGTTTGAGGTGAGAGCGTCTCCAGGGTAAAGATAACAAATACTGCACGTCATTGGCGTTTTATTGAGAACAAAAAGGTACGAGCAAGTTACGTTGTAAAAAATAAATGAATCACATCGGTTTCTTTCAGTGTTATTTTATCTTTTTATTTTTGCTACTGTATGCACGGAAGGTAGGAACTGTGAAAACAGGCACGTATTGTGACTGGTGTTGTTGTTTAGCCGGAGGTTATTCATTTATATTCATTTATTATTAGCACGGGCCAGAAACATCTGGAAAAACAAGGTCTATATTTCCTAAACTTCACAAAACAATAAAATAGGGGGTATATTATATGCGAGAATCAGACGTGAAAGAAACAAAAGATACTGTAGAATAAATCCATCCTTCGCATTGACTCCGCCTCCGACACACATGTAGACATCGCAGTCCAGGTAAAACTCCTGTTTAAACCTGCATCTACGTAACAGTCATCAATACATAGACCGGTGTCCTACGCCTGCAGTAGAGAGTCCTCCATGAGTCCGTACGACGGTCTGGTTTCTGAAATAACTGGTCCCTGATAGTAGTGTACGTGATACATGGAAATTGGGTGTACTGTAATGATATCAGACCCTGCATCTCACGACACACAGTGTCCT